CGGGTACTTCAGCGCCAGATCAGCCAGGCAGGCGGGCGTGGGCTCTGGAGAGCAGGACTGGCTTCCAAGGCCCCCTGCAGCGCAGGGCCAGGCCGCCCACTCTAGGTGGGCCCTGGAGACCAGGCAGGGCCAGGTGGGCTGGGCGGGGCGGCCCAGGTAAGGCCTCTCCTTTATTCTGCAAGTGACAATTTAATTGCTCTGTAAATTTACCTTTGAGGAAGACCTTGGTGAGCGCTTGCCTCTCCCGGCTGGAACTGACATTTAGAAGCTGAAAGACTAGTTTCCAATGTTGTGAGAAGGAAGGAGTCCAGAGGTGGGAGGGAGGGGAGCAGGTGGTGCTTGGGCCCTGAGGGCAGCCCTGGCCCTGTACCACCTTCTCCCGGGCTCTGGGCTGTGGGCAACTGAGTAAACAGCCCTGCAAGGCTGTGTGGGCCCAGAGGTGACTCAGCGCCTGCTGCCCTGAAGGTGCTCGGCCAGGTGGGGCGGCCCCACACTGTGACTGGCCAGAGCAGGGTGATCGGGGAGGGGACTTCTCCCCTGGGAGAAGCCTTCCTGGGAGGCTGGGGTTCAGATGAGGAGATGGGGAAGGGCGTCCTGCACAGAAGGAATGGCCCCAGCAAAACCTTGGAGGGGGGACACCTGGGGAGGTGGTGGCAACCCCGAGGCACCTCGCTTGGCTGGCAGATGTCTAAGATTCTGGAAGGGCAGCCGGGCAGATCTGGGAAGGCCTTGAAGACCATGTTAAGGATGGTCTTTATTCTGCAGGCCAGGGAGAGCCACTGGAGATCTGTAAACCAGGTGGAGACAGGGTCGTTCATTCATTATAGATGTTTACGGAGCACCGACGCGTTTTCCCAGGTGCTAGGGACATGGCACTTAACAAAGTTCTGTCACGGAGCCTGCGTTCTAATAACTATTATGGCTAATTTCTTGAGCATGTACGGTGTGCAGTGCATATTCTAAGTGTTTTGTGCAGAGCATGCCATTTAATCTTCACACCACCCCTGTGACATAGTGACTGTGATCACCCCCATTTTGCAGATGGTGAAACTGAGGCCCAGAAGGGGTCACAGAGTTACCAAGAGATAGAATAGGATTTGAAGTCAAGTCCTCTGGTCCAGATTCCTTGCTCTAACCCTGAAGTTTATCTGATCACATGCTCTTTTGCCCCCCAGGACCCACAGGCTAACCCCCAACACCCGCTTCACACCCCCACCCCCTCGGGCAGCCCAGCCCCACATCAGGCATCTTTGGACATGGGCCGGAGCGGAGGTGGGCTGGGAGGAGCCATTAGTGGGAGGTCCACAGGTCCTCCAGGAGAGCAGTGGGGCTGCCTGCTCCCGGGCACGCCCAGCAGGCCCTGGAGGGAGCACTCCTCCTGTGCAGCCTGGCGGATGGCGCCTCGAGGTGGGCAGGGTGGGGCATTCTCCTCATTTAACGAGTGGGCTTCTGGCACTGCTGAGAGCCCAGTGCCACCGTTTCAGGGGGAACTGGTTCAGCCCTCCCCACTATGTGCAGCCGGCTCGGATAGCAAAAGGGAGCCAGCATCGTACAGGGATGCCTGGGGAGCGGCTGGAGGGCGCTCCATAGCCCCTGGGCTCGGTCACGTGACAGGAGAATTGGTCATCTAAGGCAGTGGTTCTCAACCTTCTGGCCCTTTAAGTACAGTTCCTCATGTTGTGACCTAACCATAAAATTATTTTTGTTGCTACTTCATCACTGTAATGTTGCTACTGTTATGAATTGTAATGTAAATATCTGATATGCAGGATGGTCTTAGGTGACCCCCGTGAAAGGGTCCTTCGACCGCCAAAGGGGTCGCGACCCACAGGTTGAGAACCGCTGGTCTAGGGTTTTGGCAGGATTGGAGTTTGAAGCAGACCAGGCCTGAGCTGGCAGAACCTAGTGACCCCCAACAACCCCTGTGAGGAGAGCAGAGCCTGTGGGCACGGATGGTTTTGGCTGGTGGCTCTGGGGCCACGGTAGAGGGATGAGCCAGTTGATAGAAGGAGAGCCATCCAGCTCAACAAGCAGGACATGAGACACCAAGTTTTTTCAGGTGACCTTGGCTCGGAGGAGCAGAGGGACTGGGAAGGCAGGACAGCCTAGGAGTTAGTGCAGGAGGTCCAGAGGGTTGAGCAGACGGTTGAGAACTAGACTACCTGAGCTCAAAACCATTCTTGCCACTCCCACTTCCCACTGTGTGACCATAAACTAGTCGCCCAACCTCTCTGGGCTCCAGTTGTCTACTCTGTAAAATGGGAATAATAATGGAACGCTCCTTGTCAGGTTGGTTGAGAGTCACCGGAGAGTAATGCACGTGAGACGCTAGCAGGGCGTCTGGCGCACTCAGCGCTAATAATTCTGCGGTAATTTATCGCGAGCGTCCCCTCTGTGCTCAGCACACAGTGCCCTCCCATTTACCTTTGGAGATAAAGGAGGTAAAGCACCTGGCACGCTGCTTGGTACATAGTAGGTGCCCAGTAAATGGGGTTCTTATTAGCATTAACGATTATCTTCAGAGCAGCCCTTCAGGGTAGGGTGGACCCCCGTCTTCCAAATGAGGCTCAGAGCCCCCCAGGAGCCAGGTGCTCAGGCAGGACAGAGCACATGTGTGCGCATGTGCAGGTTGGGCAGGTTGTCTGCTGTGATCGAATGGCTGGTTGGGCCTCCCCCAGGAACAGTGAGGGGGCGGGGCGGGGAGCCTTGTGGTAGAAGCCAGGTTTGGGGAGAAGCGGATATCAGTCAGGACCAAATAGACCAGCGGTTCTCAACCTGTGGGTCGCGACCCCTTTGGCGATCGAACGACCCTTTCACAGGGGTCGCCTAAGACCAACCTGCATATCAGATATTTACATTGCGATTCATAACAGTAGCAACATGACAGTTATGAAGTAGCAACGAAAATAATGTTATGGTTGGGTCACAACATGAGGAACTGTATTTAAAGGGCCAGAAGGTTGAGAACCACTGAACTAGACTATGCTGCTGTAACGACCCCCAAATCTCAATGGCTTCAAACAATAGGGGTCCCGTCTCGCCCGCTCTGAATATGTGTGTGTCCATGGCAGGTCATCCGGGGCTCTGTCTCCTGCACCCCGTGACTCAGGTGCACAGACCAGACACCTCTTGCAGATTGCTGGTTTCTGCAGCGGAGGGACAGAGAGCTCCTGACCTGTGCCGTCCAATAGGCAACCACTGGCCGAGTGTGGCTATTGAAATGTAAATGAATGAAAATTAAGTAAAATTTACAAGTTAGTTCCGCAGTCACGCTAGCCAGCTGCTCGCCACCTTCCCAGTGCTCAGAGCTGCCTGTGGCTGGCGGCTGCTGTGCAGGACAGCGCAGCTGCAGGACACTCCATCTCAGACAAGTTCTTGGACCGCAGTCCAGTGCGGCGGCCTGGAACTAACCCAGGTCCTTCTTTTCACAAGTCCCATGGAGGCCGGGAAGTGCCTACAAGATGGGAGAGTCAGAAATACTGTAAGTTCTCACCTAACGATATAGGTTCTTGAAACGGTTGCAAAACGATGTATAACAAACCCAATTTTATGATAGGCTCATTGATAGAAACTGGTTAAGTTCCTGCGGCATCACATCAACATTGCTGTATTTGGGGGACAGCATAACGGCCACCAAAGAGTGGGTCCTGGGTCAGCTTGGGGGTCAGAGAACAGAAGGGGGGACCCGCGTGGAAGGGTAGAGAAAGAACTCGTGAGGCAGGGAGAGGGTGGCTTGAGGGGAACTAGCTTCCCAGCCCCAGGCCTTGCTCCTGCCCAGAAAAAAGAATGCGCTGAGGAGTATGGTGGCGTAGGTGCTGTGTGCGTTACTAACGGAGGGTGAGGGAGGCAGCGGGAGGGGTTCAGGTGGGACTTCCAGGTAAGCGCCCTTCAGCCAGGGACCCTGAAGATGCCCGCGGAGGTGGGAGCGAGGGGTCTCCTGGGCAGAGCGCAGCAGAGGCAGGCTGACGTGTGCCCCGAGGCTGGCGCTGCTCCGGCCAAGGTGGGCATGGCTGAGACGGCCCCTCAAGGACCCTCCTCCATGAGGGAATTGGCCCAGAAACCAGGCCTGGCCCTCCCCCCGCCTTTCCTGTTCACTTCAGCTAAATAGATCAGGAGGAACATGTCTGTTTGATTTTAATCTCAACGCAGGACACTGGAGATTACATTTTCCACGGAAAATGTCAGCCGCTGCCTAAAATAGGACTTTGGCGAAAATGCTAGAAAGTGTATTTTTAGGTTATATGTTTCCCTCCTGGATTCCTGCAGCCAAACCGTAACGGGCTGCCTGATACTCTACGGTTTGGCTGCCAGGTGCAGGCCCCAGATCTTCCAAACAGGTGGTCTGCGAGAGGGCTCCCACGGGGAAAATGATGGGCGGGCACTTGAGGCCAAAACAGGTGGACAATGTGAAGACTGGTGTGGGGGGGAGCCAGCCTGGGGTGGGGCCTCAGAATCTGACCCAGCTCCCGAGTGATGCCAGTGCTGCTGGCCCCAGCCTGTCCCTGGAGGAGCCAGGGAGAGAGGAGGCGGGGCTAGGTCAGCTGGGCCTCTGGGAGCTGAGCGTGCAGGGGTCCTCCCTGCCTGGCTGCTGGCTGCTGTGGCCGTGTCCAGGGGGAGCCCCGGGGGGTGTGGGGCTCAGACCTCGTCCTGGTGCAGCAGGTGCATCAGAGGCAACCCAAGCCCATGTTCAAAATTCGAGGGGTCGGGGTGGGGGACATTGATCAGGACTGGGCAGCCGTGGAAAAGGAGCCGCACAGGGCAGCTGCTGACTTGCTGTGACCTCGGGGTCCCTCTGTGACTCGGGGAGGGGCTGGCCTGGAGGCTCTGGAAGGACTCCCCTGGCCTGGTCTTGTCCTGGGGGAGCCAGGCCACACCAGACCATCCTCAGCCAGAGTGGGTGGGGGCGTGTGTGGCAGGGGGGGCAGGGGGAGTGGAGTCCATTCTGTGACTCCAGAGAGCAGTGGGCATGTCTAAACCATGGTGGGGGCACGGAGGGAGGGGCCTACTGCATAACCCAATCGTCTCTTGTCTCCGCATGGCTCCCACGGCTGCCGATCCCACAGAGCTCCCGACCGAGGAAGGTGAGGCTCTTGCCAGGGCGGCTGCAAGGCCCCTGGGTGACATCCTTGGGCCATTCATGGTCACGTGTGTCCTCCCCTCCTGGACAGAGTGAGGCCCTGCCGAGCCCCCGAGCATCGCCCACCTGTGCCTCTCCAGGCCTTGGGCCCGCCCTCTGAATGGTGGTGGTGGTGGTGGTGGTGGTGGTGGTGCAGGGGGTGGTAGGTCAGGCGGTCTCCAAGGCCATCCCAGCTCTGAATGGGGGCAGGCCAGCTGGTCAGGGGCCCAGGCCTCACACCGTGTTCCTGTTCCCAGGGAAGTCCCTGTGGGAGCTGGTGCTGGAGCAGTTCGAGGACCTTCTGGTGCGCATCCTGCTGCTGGCCGCCCTGGTCTCCTTTGTAAGTGGGGCCCCGTCCCACAGCATCAGGCAGCCGGTGGGAGGCGGGGAGCCAGGCCGGGCGAGTGCTCAAAGCCCCAGGCTCTGAACACAGAGCTGTCCTCCCCACTATTGGCATCCTTGGGCCCCTGCCCACCCTGCCCTGCTCAGAGGTCAGCTTCCCCTGTGAACCCTTGCAGCCCCCACTGGACCCCACTCCCATCTGTCCCGCCCTGGCTGCCAGCGTCTGCCCCTGCCCCTGCCCATTTTGGCTCAGGGTTTCTCAGCCTCAGCACTACTGACATTTGGATCAGCTGATCTTTGCTGGGGGGCTGTCTTATGCACCATAGAGTATTTAGCAGCTCCCCTGGCCTCCACCCACCAGATCCAGTGGCACCCCCTGTTGTGACAAGCAAGTCTCCAGAGGTTGCCTAATGTCCCCAGAAAATGAAGTCACCCTGGTTGAGGGCCCCTTCTGTGGCTCCCTGTGCCCCTCAGAAGACTTGAGGCTGTAACCTCTTGCCACCTCCCAGGGCTGCTGCGTCCCTTTGCTCTCGCCCCTTCCCACTGCCCGGACCCCTCCTGGACCCTCAGGGCCATGGGGTCAGGATGGAGTGGGGAGGGGGCAGTGGTTGTTATTGGGGACTGAGCAGCAGAGACCCACGGGTGATGCAGGCACATGGCTGCCCTGAGGGTAGACGGGATTCCTGCTCCCATCCAGCGCCCAGCAGGGCCTGGGCGGAGACCTGGTCTTGGGGACTTGGAGCGGAGGGGCAGCAGGGCCCTCGGGGGACTGACCCTTCCCCTCCAGCCAGCTGTGTCTAGCCCTCCTGGCCGCTCCCTGTCCCCGTGGAAACTGAGGACTCTTACAGAGAAAAAAGTCTACCCTAAAATGGCTGAGCCGAAAGGGTGCTGGTACGGATGCACGGAGGCAGTGGAGGGGCGTGGCAAGTTCCAGTTAGGCCGAGAGGTGGGAATGAGACTGGGTCTCCTGCTTCAGGCCCGGGCTCTGGCTGGAATCCTGTGGGTCTGGCCACCGGCCTCCGGGCGGGAGCCTGAAGCAGGATCGGCTGGGCTTGTTAAAACAGACTGCGGAGCTGCTGACTCCGGAGGGCTGGGATGGACCCCGAGAATCGCATTTTAACAGGTTCCCAGGTGGTGCTGCTGCACGTGGGGCTGTGGGCCCCACGCTTGGAAAACCTCAGCTAGGCAGACAGCGAGACCTGCAGCTGCCAGCTGTGCAACTGGCCCACGCTCCTGAGAGCTGGTGGGTGGGATTGGGCTGTGGTGGTCGCTACCCACAGAGGCTGCGTGTCCGCCACGGCCTCAGAGCAGCTCTCTCCACGCCCCAGGGGCATCTTCCCCCAAAGCGGGGGAGCAGACAGGAGACCCCGCACACAAAGGAAGTGGCCAGCAGACCCTGGCCCAAGCAGAGCCCCAGTTCACCAGCTTTGACCCCGGCAGGTCCTGGCCTGGTTCGAGGAGGGCGAGGAGACCATGACGGCCTTCGTGGAGCCCCTGGTCATCGTGCTGATCCTTGTGGCCAATGCAGTCGTGGGCGTGTGGCAGGTGGGAGACATGGGGCTGGGCCTGGGCTGCTGGGTGCGACCTCTCCCTGGTGCTGGAGTCCTGCAGGCCCTTCTGCTTCCAGCTCCAGCCCAAGCCCCCAGGGTGTCCCTCCAAGAGGGGGGCCTGCTGGGGCCAGGAGTGCAGACCGCGCCCGCCCTGTGCTGCAGGAACGCAACGCCGAGAGTGCCATCGAGGCCCTGAAGGAGTACGAGCCCGAGATGGGCAAGGTGCTGCGCTCCGACCGGACCGGTGTGCAGAGGATCCGCGCGCGGGACATCGTCCCCGGAGACATCGTGGAAGTGGCGGGTACATTGGGGGCCTCTTCTCTTCCGGGGTGATGCTGGCGCGCCCATCCCTCTCCGTGCCCCCGTCTTTCTGGCTGTCTATGTAGATCTCTTCAAAGCTCTTGGCCCAAACCCTGTTGGACAGGTGAGACCGTAGGCCAGCGGACAGGGCCCACCTGAGGGATCACAGCTGGGATCCTGCCTCCCAGCCCCAGCCTTGGGTCCTGGCGGCCCTCCTGGCTCTTCCCAGGACCCGAGGCCGGGGGCGGCGCCCAAAGCCACCCTCAGCCATGCCTCTCTCCCTCCGCAGTGGGAGACAAAGTGCCTGCTGACCTCCGCCTCGTGGAGATCAAGTCCACCACGCTGCGAGTGGACCAGTCCATCCTGACAGGCGAGGCCCGGAGGCGGGGCCGAGCGGGGCTGGGTCAGGGCCTGGGGGTGTCTTCACACGGGGCTTCTAATTTCCGATTCCATGACCAGGTGAGTCCGTGTCCGTGACCAAGCACACAGATGCCATCCCAGATCCCAGAGCCGTGAACCAGGACAAGAAGAACATGCTGTTCTCTGTAAGTCCGTGCGCCTTTGCCTGGACAATGATAATAGAATAATATTTAGATGGGTCAGGTAAAGCCCTACAGGGAAGAGCCTCATCGATTATTGACAACACATATAATAAGTTCATAGTGAAATAATAGCTGTGCCTGTATTCGTTTATTTAATCTTCACAAGACAACACCTTGTTATCTGCATTTTCCAGCAAGGAAACAGGCACAGAGACGTTAAGTGGCCCAAGGTCACACAACCAGTGACTGGCAGAGCTGGGATGTGAATTTAGACATTCGGACTCCAGAGCTTTTCCTCTTACCTGCTAGGTTTATCCTGCTTTAAACTGGAGAGGGGTCAAGTTTGCCTATAGTCATTCGTTGGAGAATGTTCTAGAGCAGCGGTTCTCAACCTGTGGGTCGCGACTCCCGTGGCGGTCGAACGACCCTTTCACAGGGGTCGCCTAAGACCATCGGAAAACACATACATAATTACATATTGTTTTTGTGATTGATCACTATGCTTTCATTATGTTCAATTTGTCACACAAATTGAAATTGGGGGTCACCACAACATGAGGAACTGTATTAAAGGGTCACGGATTTAGGAAGGTTGAGAACCACTGGTCTAGAGGAAGAGTGTTGCTAAAGTGATGGAGGGTGGCAGGAGTCGTCATTTCTCCTCGGGGCAAACCCACCCCCCACATCATGATGCCAGGCCCCCCTGGCTCTTTTCAGGGAGATCGATGGGATCAACCCTGTTGGGAGTGACCTGCCCCTGCGGCTCAGAGGGACTTAACTAGTGATGCTCTCTGGCTGCCTGGAAACAGCCTGCAGCCGAGCACGGAAGCCACAAGGATGGCTCAGGTTGGTGGGCAGGGCCAGAGCACCACGTTATAAGGGCCTAGAGAGCCTCCCTGGAAGGGAACAGCAGTGGGAGGTGATCTTCACCCAGAGCTCTTCCTGAGGATGGCGCCCTGCCTCGAGGCAGAGAGGCCTTGGGGTGGGAGGGGACGCTGGGGGCGTGCTCAGGGATCAGCGGCCGTCACTGGGAGCCTTTAGGGGAGGTTGGTCTGGCTAACCGCAGGTCATTTCCTCCGCTGGGGGCCTGCGAGTGGGGGGCGGGGGCTGCATGGCTCAGGGCAGAAGAGAGGCTGAGGCTGCCACCAGCACCCCCCTGGCTCCATCCTCAGCTCAGTCACCCGTCTGAGGGGTACTGAGCTCTCAGCCTCCGGGAGCAGCTGCCTTGGGCCTCTGTTAGACCATTTTTCAGAAGAGGACATGGAAGCCCAAGGCTGACCGGCCCTTACACTGGCCCTTAAAGTCCTGGCTGCCCAGGATTTGACTCAGGCCTTGGAAAGGGATGGACTTAAGGTCAAGTTTCCCGGATTCGTCCGTAAATATTTACGGGTGGTTTACCTGTGATCACAGGCGGTCACATTCCTGCGTGGCTGCTTTGTTGTCTATGAATCTTACTTTGATGGGTTGGTTCTATGTTGTGCTGGTTGATGATACTGTCAATATTGGCCTGGCGCCCAGGAGGTGTGGCTCAGTGGCTGAGCATCAACCCATAACCCAGGAGGCCATGGTTCGATTCCCGGTCAGCGTGATCCCCAGTAGTGGGTGTGCAGGAGGCAGGGGATCGATGATTTTCTCTCATCAGTGATGTTTCTATCTCTCTCTCCCTCTCCTTTCCTCTCTCTGAAATAAATAAAAACATAGTTTTTAAAATATTGGCCTGGAGCTTCCTCTGTGCCAGGCCCCAGGGTAGGCACTGGGGAGATGGTGCTGAACCAGGCCCCTGCCTTCGTAGAGCTGGCACTGTCACGAGACGACAGCAGTAACTCAACACTGTATAGCTGCTGAGTCCAGGGGCGCTAAGCAACATGGAGAAAGAGAGCCACGTGGGGGATACGAGCCCGGCCCCGAAGGAGCAGGGGTCCTGGGCCCTTTCCCTGGTGCTAAACAGCTCTTCCCTCACCCCTGGCCAGGGCACCAACATCGCCTCGGGCAAGGCAGTGGGTGTGGCCGTGGCCACGGGCCTGTGCACGGAGCTGGGTAAGATCCGGAGCCAGATGGCGGCCGTGGAGCCAGAGCGGACGCCACTGCAGCAGAAACTGGATGAGTTTGGGCGACAGCTGTCCCACGCCATCTCCGTCATCTGCGTGGCCGTGTGGGTCATCAACATCGGCCACTTCGCCGACCCGGCGCATGGCGGCTCCTGGCTCCGAGGTGCTGTGTACTACTTCAAGATTGCCGTGGCCCTGGCTGTGGCCGCCATCCCCGAGGGCCTCCCGGCTGTCATCACTACATGCCTGGCGCTGGGCACACGGCGCATGGCACGCAAGAACGCCATCGTGCGGAGCCTGCCCTCCGTGGAGACCCTGGGCTGCACCTCCGTCATCTGCTCCGACAAGACGGGCACGCTCACCACCAATCAGATGTCTGTCTGTCGGGTGAGTGTCCCGGGGCAGCTTGGGGTCCCACTGGTGTTGCTCTGTGATGCTCAGCTCCTCTCTGGGTCGCTCCCTGGCTCCTTTGTGGCCGGGGGTGGAGGAGAGAACTGGTAGGATGCCCCCTGGTGGGGAACAGAGTCCGGTTTTCGTGGGGCCGAGCAGCAGAATCTGGCTGGACATGGGTCACTAGGCAGGTCATCGCCCACCTGTGAACCTCAGTTTCCTCATCTGAAGTGTGGGTATGTCAGCCCTGCCCGGTCGCCATAAAAGACACAGGAGAGGGTCAAGCACAGCCTTGAGGCATCTGAGCCACGCTGGGCCTGCACCCAGGTTCTATACTGCTCCGCCATGACTCCCTGTGGTCAACGCCTGTCATCAGATCCGCCAGCTCCAGTGTCCTGGGAAGAGCCAGGGCAGGAATTATTCATTCCCTGGAATTCGATCCCAGATCCTGGCCCTGCTGCCCACATGCTCCAGGGATTCTGGCTGAGACTAGCAGGTGCAGAGGGCAGACGGGTGGGTGAGGTGATGGTGAAGGTTGTGGATTTCCCACCTGTCTCAGGTTTCCCGCCCCACCCCACCCCAGCGCTCCTGTCCCACCTCTGCTCCCACAACCTGCCCACTGGGCCTTGGAAATCCAGGCTCTGTGTCTGAGACTTCAAACCCCTATGGAAGCCCATCAGAGGCCGCCACAGGGGAGGGGGCACCCGCGGCCTGACGGCTGGGCAGCCCCTGACCTGCTACAATCCCTAGTGGGACTTCATTGAACAGTGTCCTTGGCTGAGAAGCACAGGCCAGGGCAGTCGTAGAGCCTTGCGTGCTGGACGATGGCTGAGAAACCTGACTTCTTAGGGCTGTGCTGGCTGGAGGGCTGCCCCAGGAGCAGGGAGGGGAGAGGGAGGGAAGGGGCATTTGTTGAGCACCTACTGGGTGCCGGGCTGGCCATGGGTGTGGGAATGTGCAGCGAGGCAGTTTCCAAGAAGCAAGATCTGTCTCCCTGGCAGAGCTGGCTGGCAGGCAGGGAGTGGGCTGCCCAGGGCAAGGAGAGCCCCCATCTCTGGGAGGCACAGGCAGGGGCTGGGGGACCCAGCAGGGTTTGGGGGCGGGAGCTCACTATGTGTGGACACCTTTGGGCAGGAGGGGTCTGTGCCCTGGAAAAGGCTGTGGGTTTTCTCCCTTAGAGGCCAGGAACCCCTCCCCTTGAAGGGAGAGAAGGGGCAGCTGGACGCTGATCCTACTTTCTGTCCAAGTCACCGGTGGAGAAGCAGGCTCAGTGCTCAGCCAGGGCTCAGGACCCAGGTTCCTGCCCCAGCTCAGGGCTCTGTCAAGCTCCCAGCGGGCCCCAGAACATTGAGGAGTCTGCCATAAACGCTCAGGGGCCTAGAGCAAAGGGACGAGTCAGAACCACACACCTGGGCAGAGCAGAGGTTCCGCCTCAGCCTGGACTCTGTACCATACACAGCACCTCTGTGAGCCTGTGGGAGGGAAGGCCGGTGGCTCCAATGGGGACCCACAGGACCCCAACCTGGGGCCAGGCTTTACTCAGACTGGCTGCCAGGGCGGAGGGAGGTGAGGGCCCGCCTCAGCATGCCCCCGTGCTCCCTATCCTCAGATGTTCGTGGTAGCCGAGGCGGAAGCTGGCGCATGCCGTCTGCACGAGTTCACCATCTCCGGCACCACCTACACCCCGGAGGGCCAAGTGTGAGTGCTGGGTGAGGGGCCGTGGGTGCGCGGGGCTTCCTGGTGAGCAAGGCCAGGGCCCTGGTGCTGACCGCCTGGCTCCTCAGGCTGCAGGGAGAGCAGCCGGTGCGCTGCGGGCAGTTCGATGGGCTGGTGGAGCTGGCGACCATCTGTGCCCTGTGCAACGACTCCGCCCTGGACTACAACGAGGTGGGCCGCGACTCCGGTTTTATGGTCTCCCTAGTGTCCAAGCTCCCAGGACAGACCCTTCTCCCAGGGTCTCAAAGCTCCCAGGATTGGTGGCACCGGCCGTTTCAGAGTGCCACACCCCAGGAGCACTGCCACCCCAACACACACCACCCCCGCAACTGCCACCCCTTCCTCTTTCTCAACTGAATTTGGAACCCTGCCCCGGGGCTCTAGGACTGTGGGGGACTGTAATGTAAGGGGCTGCAGGGCCAGGGAGGGTGTTTAAAGCAGAAGGCACAGCCCAGAAAAGGCGAACAGACCACAGCAGCCTGAAGTGGTTTAGGTGTGAGCGCCCCTCCCGGTGGCTGGCAGGAGGCCACACCCGGCCCAGCCCAATGCCAGGCTGAGGCCAGTCGGTAGCCACCGAAGGGCTTTCACCAAGGGAGTGGCATGGTCAGATTTACATTTACAAATGCCACCCAGGCTTCTGTGTGGAGGATGGAACAGGCAGGGCAAGCCTGGAGCCAGGGAGGCCGATGTGGTCCTCCAGGCCAGGGAGCTGCTGGCTGCGGCCTCAGGAAGATGGGGAGTCGGAGAGAGACTTAGGAGCCCAGACCCTGGGACTAGGTAACTGGCTGGATGAGAAGGAGGTGGTTGTCAGGGTAGCTTCCTGGCTGGGCTGTAACTATAGTTACTAAGGTAACAACTACAGGGAGAGGCGAGGTGGCCTGACGGACCCCAGCAAACAAAGTCCAGTGGGCAGCAGCTGGACAGGAGGCCTGAGAGCTCAGGGGGTGGTCTCGGCCGGCCGGGCTCTGGCATTCATGAGCACGTGAGTGGTGGGGGAGGCAGGGGCCACGTGAGACCTCAGGGAGAGTCGGGAGGGAAGGAGCAGCATCGGAGAGCAGGATTGACGAAGAGGAAGGGTTTGGGAAGGTGAGGAGGGCCAGGAGAGAGAGGCGAAGGGAGGGAGGGAGGGTGCAAGGCCACTGGTGCCGGAGAAGGGAGGGTGGGAAGGGAAGGTGAGCATCAGTGCCAGACACCACTCAGACCCCAGCAGAGCTGGTCTGGGCAGGGCCCACAGGTCTGATGCAAAGGAGGCTACAGGTACCTGGCAGAGGGAGCTCCAAGGGGCAGGAAGTGGGGGGGAGGTGAGGCTGGGAGCCCTCTGGGGGTCACCCTTCCCCTTACTCCTGTTCCCTGGGCCCCTCCAGGCCAAGGGCGTGTATGAGAAGGTGGGAGAGGCCACAGAGACAGCCCTGACTTGCCTGGTGGAGAAGATGAACGTGTTCGACACCAACCTGCAGAACCTCTCCCTAGTGGAGCGAGCTGGCGCCTGCAACGCGGTGAGCGGGGTGGGGGCTGGGCCACATGGCTGGGCCTTCTGGGGCCTCTGGGGAAGGGAGAAAGGAGGACAAGTCCTGGGAGGCTTCTGGGGGAGGAAGGACCTCAGACCCTCCGACTCCTTGGCTAGGAAGAAAATCGAGGAAAACACTGAGTGAGGCCAGAGACTTGGAGTTGGGAAGTGCACAGCATGGCGAGGAATTGGCAACCTTACGGCACTTCTGGGGCTGGAGAGGGAGATGGAGGCCTCACACGCCGGGGGCAGAGGAGAGATGCCGTCCCTCTATAGCAGGGGTCCTCAAACTACGGCCCGCGGGCCACATGCAGCCTGCCAAAAACATTTATCCGGCTCGCCAGGTGTTTTTGCTGCCGCTGTGTGCATAGGAATTTGTTCATAGTTTTGTGTTTTTTTTTTAAACATATTTTATTGATTTTTTACAGAGAGGAAGGGAGAGGGATAGAGAGTTAGAAACATCGATGAGAGAGAAACATCGATCAGCTGCCTCCTGCACATCTCCCACTCCCTTGAGTCCGCAGGCCAACACTCTATCCGCTGAGCCAAACTGGTTAGTGCCATAGTTTTTTTTAAAACTATAGTCCGGCCCTCCAACGGTCTGAGGGACAGTGAACTGGCCCCCTGTTTAAAAAGTTTGAGGACCCCTGCTCTATAGCAAGAGGCTCTTTAGAGGCGGAGCGGCTGGTGAGAAAGCAGTGGGTCGCTGGCTCTGCCCCTCACGCCCTGACCCACCTGGGCCCCACAGGTCATCCGTCAGCTGATGCGGAAGGAGTTCACCCTGGAATTCTCCCGAGACCGGAAGTCTATGTCCGTGTACTGCACGCCTACCCGCCCCGGCCAGGCGGCCCAGGGCAGCAAGATGTTTGTGAAGGTGGGAGCTGCCTGAGTGGCTGGGGCCTCTACATGCGCGGGGTCCCTGGGGTCCCTGGTCTCCAGTCCTCTGAAGAGCACAGGCTCAGCTGGAGAGACGAAGGGAGGTGTGAGGCCCACCGTCTTCAATGGACCCGGAGCCAGGGTGGTTGCCTGCCTGGGGGGACTGGGAGCAGGACCCGGACGTGGTGGAGGGACAGCCAGGGACAGGGGCTGAGGCCTGGCCCTCGCCATGGTCCCCGCTCTGGGCTGAGAGGCACTGCCTGGCCACACGACCTTGGGGTCACCCATGCTCTGCTGGGGGGCTCGGGCTCCCCATCTCAGTAGCAGGGCCAGGCTGGCAGCCCTGTGCCTCTGGCTGGGGGCGTGGAGGTGGTTGGTGCCCCTCTTTGGTGCTCCTTCCCAGAGAGGGACGGAACCCGCCCCATCCCATCCGGACCTCTGCCCATCGCAGCCCTGACTTTACCTGCAGTGGCGGCGTCAGCCCCTGTTGGAATGAAAGGCTTGTGTGGGCTGTGTGGGCTGTGTGGGCGGCTTGGGCGGCTTCAAGAACGCAGCCCTGCCTTTGGGGAAAGGGAGAAGGCCCTGATGGAATGCTCAGGGCGGTTCCCAGGCATGGGGGGAGGTCTGAGGTGCAACCTCGAGGTCACTGAGGAGCCTGCCACCCCCAGACCTCCTTCTCAGAGCCACACCCACCACGCCCTCTGTGTGACTCTATTCTGGTGCCCCAGCAGGGCCCAGCCTGCCTCCTGCTGCTGAGCCCTCTATAGAATTAGGGTCCCCCTCCCCCCCACAATGCTGCAGTCACCTCAGCACAGGCTGGTGGGGGGCGGGTGCCATCCGTGGGGCCATGGCCCGCGCGTTCCCTTGGGATCTTCTCATGGCGGGGCCACTCGGTTCCCACTCTGAGCTTTCAGAGAGCGGATTCTGGTCCTTGCTTGGCCGCGGGTCCCCCTGGGTGGTCTGTCCCCACACCTGGGCCGCAGTCTCCAGGTGGGTCAGGAGGGAGGAGACGGGTCCTGACTGACAGAGCTGCCCCTCCGCATGCTGCAGGGGGCTCCGGAGAGTGTGATCGAACGCTGTTCCTCAGTCCGAGTGGGGAGCCGCAGGGTACCCCTGAACACCACCTCCAGGGAGCAGATTCTAGCCAAGATCCGGGACTGGGGCTCGGGCTCGGACACACTGCGCTGCCTGGCCCTGGCCACCCGGGACGCGCCGCCGAGGAAGGAAGACATGCAGCTGGATGACTGCAGCAAGTTCGTGCAGTACGAGGTGGGTGCGGGCGGCCCCGGGCGGGGGCAGGCGTCTGCCTGCGGCGGCTGGGCGGGCAGCAAGGGGAGGATGGGTCCGGGCCCCACTGGCATCTGCCCCTCCCGACAGACGGACCTGACTTTCGTGGGCTGCGTGGGCATGCTGGACCCTCCGCGGCCCGAGGTGGCTGCCTGCATCGAACGCTGCCACCGGGCAGGCATCCGTGTGGTCATGATCACGGGGGACAACAAAGGCAGGGGGGTG